GTCACTCATGCCCAGCTGTTCATGGGCAAATATGGGCTGTCTTGTCCCATTTTCTCCTCAACAGAGGTGAGCTGTTGGGCAGGGTGAGCTGAATCCCTTTTGCAGGCTCTGTAGTGCCCAAATAACACCGTGCAATGCTTATGGGGAAGCCCCAAAGGAAAGTCATTTGCTAAAGGAGCAAACCTCAGGAGCATGGGAGGCTGGGGTGGGTGTACTGTGAGCCCCTGTGGTGTGGCCTGCAAGCCCACGCCTGTCCTGACTCAGGGGAGCGGCCTCCAACCCTTCTCCCTGGTGCTGCACCAGCCCCCGGGCGGGGACTGGTGGGCTCTGGGTGTGCAGCTCAGTGCCTACAGCTCGCTGTTTGTTGAATGACTAATGAATCTGTGAGTGAAATAGTGATAGTTGAAGGCCTGGAAATTCAGACATTCTAAGATTCTCACACTAAAGTCTCCATTAAAAATTCAAGCTCTTGCCAGTGACCAACTCATTTTAGCCAATATCCCAAAGTAATGAAATTCCAACACCAAAAAAAATAAAGTTTAGACTCTCTCTTCAAACTCATTATAATGAAATGTGACCTCTCACACTCAGTGTGAGTGTTCTCATTTACTTTGCCTATGAGTAGAAGCTGTGAAGCACATTAAAAAAAAACACCACTTTTATCTGCCTTTAAAAACCCCAGATTGTCATGCAGGCTATTAGCTCCTTCAGGGGAGGTTTCTTGTCCTGAGGGCCAGCAGGTGCCCCTGCCCATCCACCGGGGGAGGACAGGAGCTGGGGCCTCCAGGCTCTCCCTGCAGTGCTCTCATTCCCCACCAGTTGCTTGGCTTCCCAGCCACTTTCCAGTGGCCCTGTAGCAGGAGAGACTTTACTGAAGCACCTGTTCCAGGTGCATCCCACTCCTGTCCCAGTGATGTCCCCCATCCAGCCTGTGCCCTCTCCACTAGCCAAAGGGCAGAGCCGGAAAGGAGCACCGGCTCAGTGCATCTCGAGCTTGGACAGAACAATAGTTTGCAAACCTTGGAGCTGAGACAGGGAAGAGATGAGGAATGTGGTGGTACAGTCAAGTATCATAGTTGATAGTTGGGCTCTGAAACCAAATTGCCTAGTTGTTTTAATTGAGGTGAAATCCACATAAAATTAACCATTTTTAAATTGTACAATTCAGTGGCATTCAGTACATTCCCATTCTCATCACCCCAAAAGAAAACCCTGCACCCACTAAACAATTCTCCCCATTCTCCCCTCCCCCAGCCACAGCAGCCACCAATGTCCTTTCTATCTCTATGGGTTTCCCCAGTCTGGGCATTTCATATAAATGGGATCATGCAGTATGGGATGTGTTGTGTCCGGCTTCTTTCACTCGGCAAGTTTTTGAGGTTTGTCCACATTGTCGCATGTGTCAGTGCTCCGTTCCTTTTGATGACTGGACTGTTCTGTTGGCCACCCATCCACTGGCGGACGTTTTCCTTTTGGCTGCCGTGAGCAGTGCTGCTATGAAGATTCTTGTACAAGAGTTCATTCGAGCACCTGCTTTCAGTTCTCTTGGGTATGTTCCCAGGAGTGGAACCTCAAGGTCACATGGTAACTCTATGTTTAAGTTCTTGAGGAACCACCAAACTGTTTCCCACAGCAGCCGCACCATTTTCCATTCCCACCAGGTTCCCTCCTTGCGAATCCAGCCCTGCCACTTATCAGCTGCATGACCTTGGGCAGGTTACTTCTGCTCTCGGTGCCTCAGTTTCCTCATCTGTTTAACAAGGACACTAATGCTATTTACCCAACGGGGTTGTTAAGTAAGTTAACATGTGCAAAAGGCTTAGAACAGTGCCTGGTACGTAACAAGTGTCATAAATGTTTGCTGATGCTACTGTTTTAAGGAACAGTGGGGGTCATGGCAGATGAAAGACTGAGAAGCTTGGGACGAAAAGAGGCTGCACAGCTGATATAAAAGAATCACAAGAGCCCAATCCAGGCAGGCGGGGTTGGACACTGAGGACACCCCTCCCTTTGAGGAACCCATCTTCTTGTTCAGCAATGAGCCGTGGTCCCTCTGCTCCGTGGCCCATGGTCTTCGTGGGCAGACCATTGCTCAGGAATAGGGGGGTCCCGGGCCCTCCACTCATGACCAGCCGCTGGTTTCTCTCAATTCTCCAACAAGCAAGAGGATGGCTATGTCCCACCATACGAAAGCTCCTAAAAGAAACTTCTAGAAAACAAGCAAAGGAAAACCTTCTCTTTCTCTCTTTCCAACAATGTTCAGAAAAGGCAAACCTGGTTGATTTTCAGTTGAATCTACTGAGTTATCACTAGATATTCTGCCAAATACTATTCCCTCAATTTATAAAAGAAATCCATGTTTATGATTCATTTACACCTAACTCATCAAAATGTTTTGTCAAAGTTGTTTGAAGCCCAAGAATCCTTTGAGGAACTTCCTTGAAACACATAGAAACAAGAAGGTAATTTGTTCCCATTCATCTCTGGTTGGAAATCTCAGCTTGTAGAGAGGCCACATTCCAGTTTCAGCTAAGAGTGAACCGATGGAAAATACAGTCGCCGCAGTGTACTGACACTCCTGTGGCGCTTCCAGTTTGCAGTCACCATTTGGAAAGGCCCATGGGAAGTGCTGTTACCTCTGTCACTGGAGGGGACACTGAGACACAGGACAGGTGTGTTGTGGCCTGGAAGTGGAGGATCCCGCACTTGGACTCTGGCTGCTGTGACCACCCAGCAGCTTCTGTGTGGGTCAGAAAGAGGCTCCCAGGGACCGGGATTCAGAGGAAATGCTCCAGCCCAGCCCAGCCCAGCCGGGGAGGAGACCCTGCAGTGCATCCAGCCTGGCGCCCTCCCCTGCGGGAAAGCATCCTCCCACCTCAAGGTCACTAGGCCTCTGACAACCGGGCCTCCTTGCTCCAGAAAACACTAGAGGAGGCAAAGGAGCAAATCGGGAGGCTTGGCCTGGAGGCAGTCTTCATTGACCTGGTGGTTCCACTCAGCCAAGGGGCCTGGCATGAAAACAGGCAGGAGACTGGAAGGAGGAGAGCGAGCCCAGAGCAGATCTGCGAAGTGTCCGGAGTCCTCTGGAAGCAAAGGTTCTGGACCCAGGTGGCATTCATGGGGACCTGCGGGTCTTCTGGAGGGGCACGGAGGGAGGCCTCCAGGGCCTGGTGTTACTGAAGGCCCAGCCTGCCTCACATGCCAGAGACCAGGTCAGGCTGACAATGGCGTATGTCTGCCAGAGGGACCCGCCCGCTCCGCGGGTTTTGCTTCCGCTGGCATCTGCAGTGAGGAAGGGCATGGACGGGCTCTCCTGCAGCGGGGCTGCGAAGGAGGGATGCATGGGGCTCTGAAGAAGAAACACGAAAGCCCCGGAGAGAGAGCGTCAGACCCCCTCCATGGACAGCTTCCCTGGCTCGTGGCCCTGAGCTCTCTCAGATGAGCTGTGCTTGCTGGTGTTTAACAGCCGTCCTGCAGACAGAAGGCATCACTGCATCCCGTCTGCATGTTCCAGAGTCACCAGCTGCCCCGGGAAACCAGCTCCGCAGCCCTGGTGGAGCAGAGGATTAAGTGTTGTCTGCGTGGCACAGAGATGATGTGTGGTCTGTTTGGCACAGTCATCTCTGTGCTTCCATGGCCCAGGGGCTGCTGAAAGCATTAGTGCGGCTCACCTCAGCTTTCTGGGGTGGCCAGAGCCCTGGGGCCAGCCTCAGGCTTCCAGGGGACACAGTGTGCCTTCCAAACATGGTCATTTCCTAGGGCGTGAGGAAGGTGGAGGGCGCTGGCCTTGGTCCCTGACTCTGTCTGCTGCTCAGAGCCCCACCCAGAAGCCCAGAGCCACCTCCCACCCCTGAGTCAGTCTTTAGGGCTCTGCCCAGGAAATAAAATTTGTAAGAAGCTTCCTCCCCAGGGAATTTGGATGCATCTGGTCCGACGGGGCCAAGGATCCCCTACCCAGCACCTCCCCGATGCCTGTAATAGAAGCAGGCTGTGGGCGGGAGTCAGGGCTCTCCATTCCTGTCCCTGCTCCTCGCAGCTCCTCCTCAGTTCTCCCGTGGGGCTGGGAGATCCGTGGGAGCGTGGTGCTTCTGCAGGCGGAAGGCATGCATGCCTCTCACTCACCTGCCTTTCTCTTTTATTCTCCAGGACACGCAGGACCAGCCACTGCTACCGCATCACCTACCGCCACATGGAGCGGACCCTGTCCCAGAAGGAGGTGAGGCGCGTCCACCAGGCTGTGCAGGAGGCCGCGGTGCAGCTGCTGGCCGTGGAGGGCAGGTTTTGATGGTGGCAGCACCCAGGCCACAGTCCTCGGGTCTCTTGGATTTGCTGAAGAAGAAAAAAAAGGATATTGTTTGTGGACTTGGGCGTCGGTCACCTTTTGATAAAAGGGACCGTTTTAGGACATTCAGAAAATAAAGGATTGCTCTTGAGAAACTGTTGACCCTGCATTTGTCTTTTCTTTTGGGAAAGAGGTGAGAAAGGAGCCATAACGTGGGGGTTTCCTCCTTTCCTTTTAGGAAGGCTGGGCCCTGTGCTCAGTGTGGTGAACTGGTCCCCGGGCTCCATGAATGGGCAAACACCAGGCAGGATCTCCCCCCAACCCCCCAGGTAGTGAGCGGACCCACGTGAAGGACGTCAGGACGCAGGCACTGGGAGCTTCTCCAAATCAGCCTCTGCTCCTTCCTCCCTTCTCTTTTCTGTTCTGCAAAGGGCAGGCCTCACACAGGGCACGAATGAAATGCCAGGGCTCCCCTCAGAAGTGGAGGAGTCACATCCCTGCACCGGTGAGATATTTGCTTGCTTTTCATAAGCCCGAGGCTTGGAGTCAGGCCTCTGGCCCCGGCTTGAGCTCAGCTGCCTTCTGCCCCTCTGGAGAGGAAAGACGGGAGAGCTGCCCAGAGGCTGCAGGCAGGGCGCCGAGGGGCCAGGTCCCTAAGCCCCCTGGGAGTTTGGCGACCTTTAAGGACGAATGTGGGCTTTGAAGTTTCCCTTTCTCTCCCAGACACTTTGTAGTCTGCCTGCTTCACTCCCGAGCAGTTTTAATCATCAGTTCCATCCTTGGCCTGTGCTGGAGGCTGCAAGTGCTGGGATAAATATTTGATGAGGGGTGGCCATTGTCAGCCAGCGGTGTGGGGGGTGGGCAGCTGCTCCCAAAGGGAAGGGTCGGGCTTCAGTGTCATTTCTTCACTCGGCCTTTCCCTGGGATTGTCCTGGGAATTACGGAAGTCATACCCTGAGTCCCGCACCCGTCCCATCCTGCCTGGATCCAAACGGCTGCCCAGGGTTTGGGGCCCACTGGATGCGATTCCTTGAGTGGGTGGGTCTGCGTGGGAGCCACAGTGGTTTCTTCTTCCACAGCCTTTGCCGGCGCAGAGACCATCCGTATTCCCAAGGCTGTTAGACTTTGCTTAATATTCTCTAACAGAGCGAGCCAGGTGGGTAACACCCGGATTCAAATACTGTTCTAGTGCCAGCCGTAGAGAGCAGGGCTGGGCGGGCCGGCTGACCCGGGAGGTTCCTCTCCACACTCCAGGCTGTAGAACCGGCTGTTGTCGAAATGTTAGAGGTGAGGAGACTGGGCCTAAAGAAATCAGGGGACTTGACAGGAACATAGCCAAGGCATGCGGCCTCACTCTCGGCCTCACTCTCGGCCTCACTCTTGGGCTCACACCCGGCCTCACTCTCGGCCTCACACCTGGCCTCTGCCTCCACATGCAGAACATCCATCTCCACGGACATTGGGTGGTTCTAGGGTCTGCGCCTCCCGATTTGGCGCCTTTGTGCTGTTTCCTAAGGACTCCAGCTGGGGGCCTGGTGCAGGCGCCCCCACCCCGTCCACTCTGGCTGCTGGCACTCATGCTGAAGGGGGCCCGCCCTACCAGGGAGCCCAGGGAACCCCAGCTCTTGACTTTTTCATGTCGTTCTCACAGGGCAATAAATAATGAAAAAGAAAAATGTGAGAAAAGTCATTTAATCCATAAGGTGACCAGCACTCGCAGTTCAAGAACATCCACTCCACCTGGTCCCCCCACCGTGCCACGTGTCTGCTGCTGCTGGGAAACAGATGAGACGTGGTGATGGTGCCCCATCCTCAGCAGCCTCGGGTGGGAGACGGGCGTGCCCGCAGCCTGCTCCCACGGTGAGGGCCAGCTCCTGTGCGTGTGTCTACTCTGGATAGAAACCTCAGAGGGCTTGGCATCACGCGTCAAACGGCCGAGGGGAGGCCAGGCACACTGAGTTAAACCAGAGATATCAAGGAGGGCACATGAGACTGTTAAACCTCGAGGGGTGCTCGGAAAACCCTACAGGCCCGCATCCCAGCCAGGGCACTCAGGGCCCGGGCACCCAGGGCTGAGTGCAGAGCGGGCTTGCAGCATCGCCCCTTCTCTCCCAATCCAGACAGGATTTCAGACGCAAGGGTGTGAGCCTGACGCTGTTATAGAGGACACTGAAATCTATTCTTAACAGCTTCTAACCCATCGAGAGTGAATCATTTGAAGTCATCTACGTGTTATTATTAATAAGAAATTACTAGGGTGCCAAAGCAATTCAATGGAGAAAGGAGAGTCTTTTCAGCAAATGGTGCTGGAACAATTGGGTATCCATCAAAGAGAAAAGAAAAGACTCCCAACCCCACTTCACACGCCACAAAAAATTAATTCAAGATGAGCACAGACCTAAATATAAAAGCCAAAAGCGATTATAAGGCTTAAGGGAGCAGACATAAGGGATTATCTTTGCGATGTGGGTTGGCAAAGATTTCTTAGGACAGAGGAAGGACTAGTAAAGAAAAAATGATAAACTAGACTTTTTCTACTCTTTGGAACACATCGAATAGGCAAAGCACAGATTGGAAGAAAATATTTGTGACAGATATTTGACAAAGGACTTTTATCCAGAATATACAAAGAATTCCTACAATTCAACAATATATTTTTTTAAACTCTTTTGAAAGGGTGGGTGGGAGGTGGAAGATGGGATAAATGGTGATGAAAAAAAACCTTTTGAAAAAAATGGGCAAAGATTTGAACAAACACTTCACAAAAAAAGATTTCTAAATGGCTGATAAGAAGAAAGGGTGCTCAACATTATTAGTCTTTGGGGAAATGCATTTATGAAACTATAGAGCAGACGAAACCAACCTCTAGTGGCAAAAAAACAGACCAGAGAATTTTTAGGCGATGGAAACGTTTTAAACCTTGGTAAGAGTGCAGTCACAGGATGAGTGCATTTGTCAAGACTCATCAAACTGTGCGCTGAAGAGCTGTGCTCTCCTGTACGTAGATGATGCCTCAATAAAGGGAGGCGACACATCTGCACCTCACGGCCAAACGGGCACCCCAGCTGCAGGGCGGAGGCGGCTCAGCACCCAGGGAGCAGGGCCGCGGGAGGGCTGGGCAGGCGCGGTCTAGAGAGACTGGGCCCAGCGGCCCCTGAGCTGATGGCAGCGTGTGGAGCGGAGCCAGGGAGGCTCTGGAGCAGCAAGGGTGCGAGCCCAGGCCAGCCAAGGACACAGGGAAACCAGGGGCCCTGCCGACCCCAACTTCCCACCCCGTGGCTGTCCTTGGAGCTGGGTGCTGCTCGCTTTGCCAGGAGAGCCGTGTGCTGGGGACAGACTGGAGTGGATGCTGAAGCACAGAAAGAAGAGGGAGAAGGCGGGACCGAGGGCTGCTGACAGAGCCCCTGTTTTCATGCAGCTTGTTCCCAAAGTCCCCAAATCCTTTTGAGCTGGAGCAGCAGGACGGGCATAGCCACGCTGTCCCCTGCTCCTGAGGGGGGTGTGGACCTTGTTTCAAAGCATAACCCGTGTCCATCTCCCACCCATTGGGACTCACACACTGGTCACCCAGTAAAGCTGGGCAGCTCCCCGGGCTTCCTGGCTCAACAGAGCAGCCTTCTCCCACCGAGGGGAGGTCGGAGTGTGGCCTGGTGAGAAACCAGGCCCCAAGACACTCTCCCCCGCTCTTAGGCCACCGCCCTGCCGCCAGCCTCCTTCCAGGTGGGCGGGGTGAGCAGACCAGCACCCACCCCTGACCTGGAGCCTGACCACGCCCAGCAGCGCCCCTCACTCCCTGAGCATTACCTGTCTGGACTGGGCTGGTCAGCGACCAGCCACCACACTGGGAAGAGCCGAAGGCCCTGCTGAGTGTCAAAGACGTCTCAGGCATCAGCTGCAGACTCAGCTGCCACCAACAGCCAGGCGACCTCGAGTCCCTGACTCAGTTTCCCCTTGGTAAAATGAGGATACCAGTCATACTCACAGGAGTGTGGTGAGGATTAGGTGAGCTAAGGCGTGGGATGCTCTTAGTTTTTAGCACAATATGTTGTTACGCGTGAATTAGTATTTTTCCTAAAAGCCCGTGTTGGGAAAATATTCTGGAATTACAGTGGTGATGTTTGCTCGACTATGTGAATATGCTACAGCCCACTGGACTGTATGTTTTGAAAGAGTGAACTTTATGGAATGTGAATTATATCTCAATAAAGCTGTTATAGGGCAGAGAGGGGATAAATGGTGATGGAAAAAATAAAAAGCAAACAAAAAACCCTGTTAAACATGCACTTACCATGTGACCCAGCAATCGAATTCCTAAGGTATTTGCCAAGAGGAATAAGAACAGGATTTTACTGAATTGGGGGTGACTTGGAAACAGGCAGAAGTGATGAGCCCCCCAAGACTGCAGCTCGTCCATCTTTTGTTCTCTCGGCCAGAAAACTCAGCAGAGGCTCCAGCAGGAGGCTGGGGGACATTTGGCCACACATGTGACAGCAGGGATACTGTTCTTTAGTTAAACTGGAGCTCTCCGATTTCCCTGCTGGCACACTAACTTTTCAGCCCTCCGCCTCTCCCCGGGGCAGGGGGGCTGGTGCGTGCGCTTCTCCCAAAGGCTCAGTGGACCAGCCCCAGGTCCACCACCGGCCAGAAGCGTGAGCTTGTTGGGAATGCAGAGCCCCAGGCCCTCCCAGCCCTGCTGAATCAGAGTGTGCATTTAAAGAGGTTCAGATGAGTGGTGTGTACCTGTCAGACCAGAGAAGGTCAGGGCCAGAGCGATGCGTTCCTCCCAGCGCATGGAACATTGGACATCAAGGCTTCCCCGAGGTGCAGAGGCGATGAGAGGAAGTCCTGTCTCAGATCCTTGAGGGCCCTGTTGTGAGCTGAATTGCATCCACTCAGGAAAGATGTTGAAGTCAGTCCAACCCGGCCCCTCAGTGTGACCTCATTTGGCGACAGGGTCAGAGGAGATGCTCTTAGTTAAGACGAGGTCATGCTGGAGGGGATGGGCCCTAATCCTATAGACCTGGGGTCCTGATCAGAAGACAGCCACCTGAAGGCAGTCACCCAGGGAGAAGGCATGACGTCAAAGGCAGAGTCTGCAGTCATGTGGTCGCAAGCCGAGGACACTGACGTTGCTGACAACCCACCGGAAGCGGGAAGAGG